AAAACTTTGACTTAAGTTATAACGAGCGTCCTGAAATAATCGTAAAAGCGGAAGGAAAAACTTTTGAGCGATACAAGAAACGAGTTTCTCTCGGGGAAAAGCAAAGGCAAATTGGAAGTGTTCGCCAACACATAATTGATTTCCGCGACTTCGCTTTAAACTTTGGGCTCGGTTCATTTGAGCTCCAGTTGTACCGGTTGGTAAACTACTAAAAGGGAAACTTAAGTTTAGTATACAGTCTAACAACCAAATAACAACTCGAGTTGAAGCTACCACAACTGTTGTTCTGAGAGGGAGAGAGCGAGTTAAACGGTAAGACGGGTTCTGAAATATTAACCTCTTGCAATATGTCATTGAATTATATCTATTCATCTATAGAACTAAGATATCCCAGTATGAGTAGTGAAATCATGAGGAAATAATCAATGTAATTATGTATTTCCGTAACCGTATTATCTCTCAAAGTCATACATTTTTAGCGAGGATGTGCGAAGCTAGCTCTTATAATCACTTTCGGAAAATACCCTCCGGCCATAATTTTGTTCGCACCCTGAGCATACTATGCTAAGTGCTAGAAGAATCAGCTCTTCAGAGTTCTGTGTATCTTGTTCACACTTATAATATCGGATATAAGGTATTATTTTGAACTAACGATTAATTTTAATACTGTTGGAGGTCTTAAAAGTGTGTTTCAGTTCACTTCGGTAGAGAAAGACTGAATAGGTCTGAATACGATCTATAATTTATGTTAAAAGATAAAGAAACTCAGTGTTGGCTTAAATTCATAAAAGAAACACTTTCTTGAAAACTGTCAACTGTCGAGGGCCCTAAAAGTTAGCCGTCTACCGTCGAAATAGGAAAAAAATACCAGTGTTTTTTTCGATTTAGTTGAACAGCCAGTTACAGTATCCTAATAGCATATCATTTGATGCCTTTTCTCTTTTTAAATTCCCTCTCAGGCCATGATTTGTAATCTAAATCACTGTGATAATTGCATTCCTCTTATCCAGGTATTATGTTCCGATTTGCCCTAAAACAGCGGTGTTCGAAGGCTTTTGACTACATTGTGGTGCTTATCAGTTTAAGTCCGCAAAAGCTTTTAAATACAAGTTTATGTGCTGATAAGATGGAAAGCGCAATTATCGTTTGTTTGACTGAGAATTTCTAAATCTTATGTTAATCATTTGTGTCATTTGTAAGACTGGCAGTCGGGTGTGAGAGACTCGGTTAGGTATGTAGTTAATATGGACTGGAGCATTTGACCCCTGGACTATTGGACTATTTTGGACCAATTTTTGGACCATTTTTTTGGGACCATTTTATTGGGGGAAGGTAGACCATTAGTGCTTAGGGAGGGGTCGGATGCAGTCTATCAATACTCAGGGAGAGGTGGGAGGCGGTTGTATTAGTAAATGCTACGGATTGATGGAGTTTTTAATGGATCATAAAAATTATTTTATGCGGTTTTCCGACTAATAATTCTAATTTTAAAATTTTTGCACCGGGTCGTAGCGTTTCTCTATTTTTTTGTCATGTGAATGCGAAACTGGCACCGAAACACTGGACTAGAATTGTCCATGGAAATATCGCCCAATTCCCGCTTTTGATCCTCCGCTGCTGAGTCTCGCGTGTGCCTTTCCCCCACAGCCTGCACACTTTAACTTTACTTGTACAATTCGGTTTTTCCTTTGTTTGCATAATATTTGATCTGGTCTACATTTAACAGACACTTATCAATTCTGACTCTTTCAGAAATGAAAAAGAGATTTCAAATGCTCTCGAGTCATTGCAAAATATAGAGGTCGCTTTGTCATTGTCTCTGAGAGGGCTTATTGTATTATTGCAAAAAGGAAATTCGTAATTTGTGAATAACAAATCCGAAATTTTCGAAAAAGGTAATTCTGTGGTGGATTTAATTCTGTAATTGTGTAGATTTAATGAATCAAAGAATCGGCTGTGTGAAAGAAAAATTGCGTCAATGAGCCATAAAATGCAAACCTGTTATTTGAAAAATGATCCAGCGCTGAAGCTGTGCTGTTTTAATCGTCAATTTACGAAATGAAGTGCGTGACATGACACTCAAATCTAGGCGTGACTTAATTGTATCAAATAGGAGAAAAACTGTGTATCTGAAAAGAGAGACTCCTGCAACTCCTCCCGAGGAACTAATTGTCTATCTCCTCTCGATAAAATGGTCCAAATCAAAGATGGTTCAAAATTGGTCCAAAGAAAGGTCCAAAAACTGGTAAAAAAAATGGTCCAAAAAATAGTCCAATAGTCCAAGGGTCCAATGGTCCAATAGTCCAGTCCATATTTTACTCTATGCCGTTAAATTCTACTTTTTGATCCACTCAGGTATCAACTACATGAAAAAGTCCAGCTCTAAATTCAGTGACATGTTCAACAACACAAGTGCTTCAACACAAGAGCAATCTCCGGTAAATATCAACACTTTCACCGCTGAAGCAGTAGCTGAGCTTGTCCCTATTGCGCTCCTGGTCACCATTGCAAATGGCGTGGTGCTGGTTTTATTTACAAAGAATACCAAGCTCCGAACAGCACCAAACTATGTCCTTTTCAGCCTGGCAGTTTGTGACTTCATGACAGGGATCATCAATGTTCCCCTTTTCATAATTGTCGCGTTCACACCGGTTGTTAAGTCGCTTGAGGTTCGATATTACATGGCCATCCTGGTGAGTGTACTTAACAATTTGACCGCCATATCATCTTGTTATCATATACTGGTCGCCACAACAGAGAAGTATCTGTCAGTCGTCTGGCCAATAAAACATCGAATGATGACCAGAAGAACAGTCGCCAAAGTGGTGAAAGTAGTTTGGGCGTTGTCTTTCATTGTGGCCTTTAGTCCCTTTGCATGGGTGAAAATGGAAGATAGAGAAACCCAAGCAAGACTGACTTTAGGACATGTCATTTTTTGCCTCATTGCCGTTTTCTTGTTGCCGTATGCATTCATGATCTACGCTTTTATCGTCATTTTTAAATCAATCTCTGACAGAGGTAAAGCAAGACGAGGTGCCACTTTAGAGAGACCTTTCCTAAGCCGGCAAGCTGCTCTTGAAAAGCGATGTTTGATTTTGTTCGTTGCAATGGCAACCGTCTTCCTTCTTTGTTGGTTACCATGGTTTATTTTGATGTTGCTGTTCAAAGTAAAGAAGGACGTGAACTCCTTAGAAATCCCAGCTCATGTGTTTGTGCTCGTTAGATATGCTACTTCTATTATAAACCCTGTATTGTATACTTTCTTCAGAAGAGACTTTAAGAAAGCACTACATTCCTTATGTTCAAACAGCAGATTACGTTGTCTGACTACTTTAGATCATAAACCAAATGGATCTGATACAAAGGAAATAGAAACAGCTGAAGACGCTTTATAACCCTCAACACCCTAGCATCAGTATACGTATTGTCCGTACTGCTCTCTATATATTTCTTAAGGTTCTGATAAGGAGAATTTGTTTAACTTTAAAGAGCTACTTTACTTGGTGATCATTTCCTTCAATCTCGTGACCTTAATGTGTGATTCAGGGGCGATATTGTCCGGAGAAATTAGATGCTGGTCAATCTTGGGGTTCAAAGGGTCAGAAGTCATTGCCGTTGGGAACAATGCCAAAAAAAATTGTCTTCAATACTTAGGTTACTTATTTATTTATTTATACGACCGACATTTTAAGTTCTGGATTGACACGCACGTTTTCAAAAGTTATTTTGACTTCTCAAAAGATGATAAATGCCTAGGCGGTGATTGATTAAAGGTGCATTCATTCTATCTTGTCTTGTACGGTACAAGCTTATTTGTGAAGTACGTACTCCTTTTTCTGGAGCACTTGATGTGTATTATACTTAGATAATAAAACTGATGGGTAAATCGCAATAGGGCGTATTTCTTCAGCTTCGCTTTTGACTTTTCTCTGGTTTAAAAAGGGAATGTTCAATTCTATTGAAGAACATGATTCTTTTTTTGCGGCTTTTCTCGGTGATGAAAAAGCACTCTCCCTAAATATAACTTGACTTGTCACAAAAAGCGAAAACTATCCAAGTTAACCAAAGCTCTTCGCGAAAAAAGACGACGCATTCGCTCGAGGGGTTGACGCTCGAAACGTCAGCTTTAAAACTCTATAGAGTGGTCAATTTGCATCATCAACTCAATTGATAAAGGAAAAATTATCTTGAAAGTCAAATTTTTTTTTAACGTAATTGATTAACTTTCAATTCCTTTCAATGTTCTGTGCTCGTCTTATTGCACCGCCCAAGAATTTTTACTTCTGTCATTTAGCTAGAACTTTGACAGGCTGCATAGTTTTGGATTTTTCTTGAATATGATGCTCGTATGTTATTACACGCTAAATTAGTCTTTCTCTTTTACTTAAATGGCACAATAAGAACAAACTGATTTTGAAATAGAAACAACAGAATGATGTTGAGTAAGAAAGCGATCTTCGCAGCAGTGAACACTACTTGACTAACATAATGACCAGCTCCCAGTTGCTTTTTAGCTGGGTTGGTAGAACGCTGCACCGGTATTACAAAGGTCATGACTGGGTTCAAACCCCGTACAGGCCAAACTTTTTTCGGCCATATTTTCAGTGCTTCTCGAGTTGTGTTCTTTCCAACAAAGATAGCTTTCATATTCACTTCGTTACCTGCAGTTCACGTATATGATATTTCATATTCATATATTCACAGGCAGAGTTGAGTTGCTACGTAGCTTTGGTGACTGCTGAAAAAATGCACTGAAAGCTGCTCATCATAACAACATAAATGGAACAGATGGAATATCTGAACGGCCGAGAAACAGGCCTTATTTTCACTGCTTCTTAAGTTGTGTTCATTCCTTCGAAGACCGCTTTCATATACGCTTCTTTATTTGTAGTTCACATATATGATTTTTATATTTATATATGCACAGTCATGACTGAGTTGCTACGTAGCTTTGATGACTGCTGAAAAAATGCATTTGAAAGCTAGTCATCGTAACATCATAAATGGAACAGATGGAATATCTGAACGGCCGAGAAACAACGGATCCTGAATTATATATGGTCGTTTGAGGCCGGTTTGCAAAAGATTGCGTGAAGCGTTAACAATCTGCAGATTTCAAGAGAAATAGACTGCACAAACGTGGAGGTGAGCGGTTTTTTTTCTTTCATTCGTAATGATAAGTTTTGTTGAAAGTTTATGTTCATTATTTAACTCGCCTTTCTAGTGGAGCACTTTTGTGTAATTATATGATGAGATGTCGATACTCTAGGGTCAAACTGAACTGTTTTGAAAGCAGAAAAACAAAAAACACGATAAAATTCGGGACTTAAACGGCAGGATTTGAACCTGTAAGTAATTTTGGAGCAATTTCACATTTGCTTCATTGACTCCGGAGATAATTTCTCTCCCATAACATAACTGTATTATTTGGCAGATAATGATTTGTCTTTATAGAATCTGTGAATTAGAAATATTCAGCGATCTAATGATTTGAACTTAGTTTATCCTGGAAAATATGCTGAATATCAATAACTTTAGGCTACAGTGTAATGATGTGATTAACATGTAGAGGCAGCAACGGTACTGACCGAACAGTGAGGAACCCAAGATATCCGTAAAAAGAAAGTTAAAGCCGCTGGACAGAAAGATTACCGGGGTAGATCGGTTTTCTGTTTGTTTGTTTATTTGTTTTTGTTTTTGGTTCTTTTTTGTTGACGAACATTTCAGTGAAGGCAAATTTTGTTGAAATTTTAATGTAGTAATTACTTATGAAGCAGATTAATAAGGAGCTTTGATTCATTTTCTCTGCAATATTAGAGATCGCTTGAAAAACATTGTGCTAAATAAGTATTGGTCGCATGCGAACTATTTGAGTGTTTTCGGGTAAATTTTATTTCAATTAACAATTGACTCATAGGTTAGTGCGTTCATCAAGATATGAAGCACGTGGCGGGGAAGTTTGGAGAAAGCAGAAGGTTTTTGAGAGTTTCTCGAGGAGAAGCGAACAACTGGAGCTCCTTGAGTACTCCCCAAACCTCCCAGGTGCTTTGAAGCTTGATGAACGAACAGCTGACACATGAACCAATTTGTTTAATTTATAACATTTTCAACGTGGTAGTTTTAAAGTTTCATGCAGAGAATTTAACCTGGCCCATTCTTCATTGTTTCCCTTCTTTAAAAAAGCCCACGTGTCACTGATACATGCAGCTTCGCAAAACAATGTAGGACAAGACTGACTTCAACAACTGGATCCACAGTGAAAACGCTGCAAACTGTGATTTTAATTGCAATCATTCCCAATATTAAATTTGCAGGATAAAAAAGCCCACGTGTCACTGATACATGCAGCTTCGCAAAACAATTTAGGACAAGTCTGACTTCAACAACTGGATCCTCGGTGAAAACGCTGCAAACTGTGATTTTAATTGCAATCATTCCCAATATTAAATTTGCAGGATAAGATAACATGGCTTCTAGGGACTTAAAAATTGCTGCAGCAGTGGTGTTTTGTTTTGCAGTGTACACTCTATTTTGGACCAACCTAAAAGATTGCAAGTTCTCTCGAGGTTTGTATCATTAAAATTACGTCAGTTTCAATTCAAACTTCATTTTGCCAATACCAATGTAACTGTTCTCATCTAGGAGAAGTGAAAAACTTTCATTGGCTTAATACTCCATCGATAGAGATACATCCTGTCAGAATGAGCCACTTGGCCAGTTGTATGCCGTCACCACAGATGACAATTTGAAGATGACCGAGCACTGATAATAACCGAAATGAATATGTCACTGATCGTGAGCACGATTAGGTCATAAAAATTTTAATTTCTTGAATTTTCATGATCAGATTTGCGTCTGCATCGGATAAGAGGTTGAGAACAGTTAACTATTCATCCCTTTTTTACACCATTTGAAATTACTGATGGTCCCTGTAATCTGATTGGCTCTAATTGGTGCTATTTATTCACAATTTTTTTGCTTTAAATCGCATCTTTTTCCCAGCAAATGAGCAGGCCACACTAAAAACAAAACAACCAACCAGATTTCAAGGCTTGTTTAAAGTAACCAATCAAATTGCAGGAAAATGAAAGACAAAGAGTATCATGTGTCAAATTTTGCAACTTTTGTTTCCAAAGCTCCTATTTCCCCTCCCCCCCAAATGTGAATGAATTTAATTTCAAACCAGCTCAGTCCTGCATCAATTAAATATTTGAACTGACCAATTCCTGTATTTGGGCGATTTCAAAATGGATGTAATGAAGTGGTAATTGAATCTCGTGTCGTGCAAATTTGGTCTGAAATCATACTTGTGATTTCAAATCGAACTCGCGCTGCGTGCTCGTTCGATTTTGAAATCACGCGAATCATTTCAGCCCAAATCGCATTCCACTCAGTTCAGTTACTATTATTAATCATGAATTTTTAATCAAGTTTTCAAGGGTCATAAGATGGCAGTTTCTACTCTGTCTACTCTCTCTTCCAGACCTCCATTTTACCTTCCTTCCTCGATCCTCGCTTAACTCACGCTCACTTAACTCCCCTAACTTTTTCTATTTAACACCCCCCGCTGTTGTTCTGTTTGTACTCATCAATTGTTTGATTTTAGTTCCACAGCTGACTAATCTTCTAGATGCAAGACAGTACGACAGTGTCAAAATTTTCTTACTTTTTATTGGTTACAACAGAAGTAGACACACCCTGTTAGCTTCTCTGTTAGATGCTCATCCAAACATTATCGTTGCCAACGACTACAACATCTTGGGCGAATGGATAAAAAACCCTCTGTTGTCTCAGAGATCAAAATATTACATGTACGAGCTACTTTATGCAAAATCTCGTTATGACGTCATGTTTGGAGTGCGCTCGCGATTGGTGGGTGACAGACCAAAACAATATCACTATAACATCAAGGACCAATGGCAAGGCAGATACAAACATAGCTTACAGGTGTGTGTTACCGTTACATTTTTTCGGTTCCTGTATTCGCCAGAGCAAAATTCGCTAGATTTCAGATCATGCGCTTCGCTTACCAATTTGTAAATGGGCCTTATCCCTTTCCAAACGGAATCTACTAATTACTTACTAATTCGATAACGCTTAATACAAATGAGATGTACCTGTAAACATTTTACTGGATAAAATGAGAACGCTGCTTCCTAGTTTTCTATTTGTTCTATGCAGGTTATTGGTGATAAGAAAGCTGCTCGAGCATCCAAAATTGCGCGAGGACCCGAGGGAATAAAGGCGTTGAGAGACCTCGAGAAAAAACTCGGTGTACAACTAAAGTTCATTCACGTTGTGAGAAATCCATTTGATAACATCGCAACTATGACTCTACGAAGAGCACAAGAGAGAAAAAAGGGACAAGTTAACCTTAAGGTCAGAATACGCAGTATACGCTGGGCCCGCTGTTATTGGCTGCGCTGTTGCAATGCCCCTGACATTTTTCTGTCGTTTTTTGTCATTTTTTTTCCATCTATTTATTTGGATTGTTGTCGTGTGGCGAAGTTAACAAATAAATAAATAAAGAATAGTATTAAGATTCATCCCCACGTTTACATTATATCTATTGGTCTGTTAGGTTTCAGACCTATTTGAAACTTTGAAGGAAAAGTTTATCTCACCCAACTACGCAGTCAAGGCTTCATAAACAATTGGGAATACCTCACCACCAAAAGATTCCTCAACTAACTTTTTCTTAATTCTTCATTTAGGTGAACCTCTCAAATATACTTGATGAAAGTATAAAAAGTTACGGTGAACTCGCTCGAGGAAGTCTTGAAGTCAAGAAAAACTTTCCAGGCCGCGTACTTGACGTAGCAGGCATTGATGTGATGACGTACACTACAGAAAATTTACGGAATATTTGCAACTTCTTAGAAATCACGTGCACAGAGAAGTACCTGCAAGACTGCGCTGCCATTGTCGACCCAGTCCCCTCCACCACGCGAAAAAATGTCGAGTGGAACACTGACCAAATAAACCGAGTTCGGAGATTGATTTCACAATATTCATTCCTTAGACGATATTCATTTAACGATTGAATGACACCGAGAACCACTGTACAAATTGGATATGTTTATGGATAGAAATAGAATAATTAAAAAATGTTAGGTAATAAGCGGGCTATAAAGGGAAGCAACCTGACCAAAACGTCTCTTATCTTTTGACTTCTGTAGTGTAAAATATACTTAATGTAATTATATGATTAAAATTTTACAACTCCAATGACACTTACATACATATGCACGCAACCGTTTCATATTGTCCTTCAGTTGCATTTTGAAATGATATAATGGTTTCTGGTTCGCCTTAAGCGGCTGCAATATGACTGTTACGCTAGCTCTTGCCCTCACTCGAATCCATTGTATCATATATGCGCGCAGACTAAAAAATTAGAACTAAGCGCAAGCAAAATAGTTTTAGTTATTGCAAACCTTAAAAAAACTAGCAATAAAATACTGAAATTTATCTGCATATCGAGCAATGATGCAGAAAAAACTAATTAATCTAGATCAGTGAATGCTACTTGCACAACAGTCGAATTAATATAATATTTGTAATTATTTAAAACGTTAAAAAATTAAAAAACGTGTAAAGTGAAAAGCGTAACTCAGAATCAGACACATTTACCTAACTGCAATAACAACTTGTTGTGTTAAGGAATAACTTCCGTTCAGCTGACTTGATAGTCTCTTGAATGAATAATGAGATCTGAATGTGTAAGGATGCTGGATAAAGGACTTTGAATTATGATAATCGGTTGAGATTATATCTTTTGAAACAGAATAAAGCTTAGAATGGGAAAGTATTTTAAGTAAGTACAGGTATAAGTAAATAGGATCATGATACATATGTCCAGCCAATGAATTCCCGAGTTCAGCTTTTCATGACTTTTTTGGCATCATTTGTATCAATAAAACTAATTCAATGGTGTCAATACGGGTGATATGGCCTTTCATTAAGACATCACTCAGTGTTAGCACGGTTCTTTATAGAGGGGGAGGGGATGCTGAGTGACTATGACTGTGTAATATGGAAGGTTTAAATGAGTCAACGGCGGTCGATTAGTTTGATCTTAACCAGCTTATCAGGAACCATAAGAATCTTCTGGTACATTTCCAACGGACCTTGATTGTATTCAATTTGAAACCGCTGCAGTAGCTGCAAGACAAAGAATAAGACAAACGAATCAAAACTTCAAGAAAGATTCCGCAACTACAGTGCGTTTGAAACATGACATTCTCACCTTGCAAACAAACGGGTAAATTTCCAATTCCGCCAAACGACGACCTTACAAAAAAAATGGAAGATTCAACAGGAAAGTCGGAAGAGATGAAGTTAAAAACAAGGAGAATTTGTTTAACTTTAAAGAGCTACTTTACTTGGTGATCATTTCCTTCAATCTCGTGACCTTAATGTGTGATTCAGGGGCGATATTGTCCGGAGAAATTAGATGCTGGTCAATCTTAGGGTTCAAAGGGTCAGAAGTCATTGCCGTTGGGAACAATGCCAAAAAAAATTGTCTTCAATACTTAAGTTACTTATTTATTTATTTATACGACCGACATTTTAAGTTCTGGATTGACACGCACGTTTTCAAATGTTATTTTGACTTCTCAAAAGATGATAAATGCCTAGGCGGTGATTGATTAAAGGTGCATTCATTCTATCTTGTCTTGTACCGGTACAAGCTTATTTGTGAAGTACGTACTCCTTTTTCTGGAGCACTTGATGTGTATTATACTTAGATAATAAAACTGATGGGTAAACCGCAATAGGGCGTATTTCTTCAGCTTTGCTTTTGACTTTTCTCTGGTTTAAAAAGGGAATGTTCAATTCTATTGAAGAACGTGATTCTTTTTTTGCGGCTTTTCTCGGTGATGAAAAAGCACTCTCCCTAAATATAACTTGACTTGTCACAAAAAGCGAAAACTATCTAAGTTAACCAAAGCTCTTCGCGAAAAAAGACGATGCATTCGCTCGAGGGGTTGACGCTCGAAACGTCAGCTTTAAAACTTTATAGAGTGGTCAATTTGCATCATCAACTCAATTGATAAAGGAAAAATTATCTTGAAAGTCAAATTTTTTTTTAACGTAATTGATTAACTTTCAATTCCTTTCAATGTTCTGTGCTCGTCTTATTGCACCGCCCAAGAATTTTTACTTCTGTCATTTAGCTAGAACTTTGACAGGCTGCATAGTTTTGGATTTTTCTTGAATATGATGCTCGTATGTTATTACACGCTAAATTAGTCTTTCTCTTTTACTTAAATGGCGCAATAAGAACAAACTGATTTTGAAATAGAAACAACAGAATGATTTTGAGTTAGAAAGCGATCTTCGCAGCAGTGAACACTACTTGACTGACATAATGACCAGCTCCCAGTTGCTTTTTAGCTGGGTTGGTAGAACGCTGCACCGGTATTACAAAGGTCATGACTGGGTTCAAACCCCGTACAGGCCAAACTTTTTTCGGCCATATTTTCAGTGCTTCTCGAGTTGTGTTCTTTCCAACAAAGATAGCTTTCATATTCACTTCGCTACCTGCAGTTCACTTATATGATATTTCATTTTCATATATTCACAGGCAGAATTGAGTTGCTACGTAGCTTTGGTGACTGCTGAAAAAATGCACTGAAAGCTGCTCATCATAACAACATAAATGGAACAGATGGAATATCTGAACGGCCGAGAAACAGGCCTTATTTTCACTGCTTCTTAAGTTGTGTTCATTCCTTCGAAGACCGCTTTCATATACGCTTCTTTATTTGTAGTTCACATATATGATTTTTATATTTATATATGCACAGTCATGACTGAGTTGCTACGTAGCTTTGATGACTGCTGAAAAAATGCATTTGAAAGCTAGTCATCGTAACATCATAAATGGAACAGATGGAATATCTGAACGGCCGAGAAACAACGGATCCTGAATTATATATGGTCGTTTGAGGCCGGTTTGCAAAAGATTGCGTGAAGCGTTAACAATCTGCAGATTTCAAGAGAAATAGACTGCACAAACGTGGAGGTGAGCGGTTTTTTTCTTTCATTCGTAATGATAAGTTTTGTCGAAAGTTTATGTTCATTATTTAACTCGCCTTTCTAGAGGAGCACTTTTGTGTAATTATATGATGAGATGTCGATACTCTCAGTGAATAGGGTCAAACTGAACTGTTTTGAAAGCAGAAAAACAAAAAACACGATAAAATTCGGGACTTAAACGGCAGGATTTGAACCTGTAAGTAATTTTGGAGCAATTTCACATTTGCTTCATTGACTCCGGAGATAATTTCTCTCCCATAACATAACTGTATTATTTGGCAGATAATGATTTGTCTTTATAGAATCTGTGAATTAGAAATATTCAGCGATCTAATGATTTGAACTTAGTTTATCCTGGAAAATATGCTGAATATCAATAACTTTAGGCTACAGTGTAATGATGTGATTAACATGTAGAGGCAGCAACGGTACTGACCGAACAGTGAGGAACCCAAGATATCCGTAAAAAGAAAGTTAAAGCCGCTGGACAGAAAGATTACCGGGGTAGATCGGTTTTCTGTTTGTTTGTTTATTTGTTTTTGTTTTTGGTTCTTTTTTGTTGACGAACATTTCAGTGAAGGCAAATTTTGTTGAAATTTTAATGTAGTAATTACTTATGAAGCAGATTAATAAGGAGCTTTGATTCATTTTCTCTGCAATATTAGAGATCGCTTGAAAAACATTGTGCTAAATAAGTATTGGTCGCATGCGAACTATTTGAGTGTTTTCGGGTAAATTTTATTTCAATTAACAATTGACTCATAAGTTAGTGCGTTCATCAAGATATGAAGCACGTGGCGGGGAAGTTTGGAGAAAGCAGAAGGTTTTTGAGAGTTTCTCGAGGAGAAGCGAACAACTGGAGCTCCTTGAGTACTCCCCAAACCTCCCAGGTGCTTTGAAGCTTGATGAACGAACAGCTGACACATGAACCAATTTGTTTAATTTATAACATTTTCAACGTGGTAGTTTTAAAGTTTCATGCAGAGAATTTAACCTGGCCCATTCTTCATTGTTTCCCTTCTTTAAAAAAGCCCACGTGTCACTGATACATGCAGCTTCGCAAAACAATGTAGGACAAGACTGACTTCAACAACTGGATCCACAGTGAAAACGCTGCAAACTGTGATTTTAATTGCAATCATTCCCAATATTAAATTTGCAGGATAAGATAACATGGCTTCTAGGGACTTAAAAATTGCTGCAGCAGTGGTGTTTTGTTTTGCGGTGTACACTCTATTTTGGACCAACCTAAAAGATTGCAAGTTCTCTCGAGGTTTGTATCATTAAAATTACGTCAGTTTCAATTCAAATTTCATTTTGCCAATACCAATGTAACTGTTCTCATCTAGGAGAAGTGAAAAACTTTCATTGGCTTAATACTCCATCGATAGAGATACATCCCGTCAGAATGAGCCACTTGGCCAGTTGTATGTCGTCACCACAGATGACAATTTGAAGATGACCGAGCACTGATAATAACCGAAATGAATATGTCACTGATCGTGAGCACGATTAGGTCATAAAAATTTTAATTTCTTGAATTTTCATGATCAGATTTGCGTCTGCATCGGATAAGAGGTTGAGAACAGTTAACTATTCATCCTTTTTTACACCATTTGAAATTACTGATGGTCCCTGTAATCTGATTGGCTCTAATTGGTGCGATTTAGTCACGACTTTTTTGCTTTAAATCGCATCTTTTTCCCAGCAAATGAGCAGGCCACACTAAAAACAAAACAACCAACCAGATTTCAAGGCTTGTTTAAAGTAACCAATCAAATTGCAGGAAAATGAAAGACAAAGAGTATCATGTGTCAAATTTTGCAACTTTTGTTTCCAAAGCTCCTATTTCCCCTCCCCCCCCAAATATGAATGAATTTAATTTCAAACCAGCTCAGTCCTGCATCAATTAAATATTTGAACTGACCAATTCCTGTATTTGGGCGATTTCAAAATGGATGTAATGAAGTGGTAATTGAATCTCGTGTCGTGCAAATTTGGTCTGAAATCATACTTGTGATTTCAAATCGAACTCGCGCTGCGTGCTCGTTCGATTTTGAAATCACGCGAATCATTTCAGCCCAAATTGCATTCCACTCAGTTCAGTTACTATTATTAATCATGAATTTTTGAAAGATGGCGGTTTCTACTCTGTCTACTCTCTCTTCCAGACCTCCATTTTACCTTCCTTCCTCGATCCTCGCTTAACTCACGCTCACTTAACTCCCCTAACTTTTTCTATTTAACACCCCCCGCTGTTGTTCTGTTTGTACTCATCAATTGTTTGATTTTAGTTCCACAGCTGACTAATCTTCTAGATGCAAGACAGTACGACAGTGTCAAAATTTTCTTACTTTTTATTGGTTACAACAGAAGTAGACACACCCTGTTAGCTTCTCTGTTAGATGCTCATCCAAACATTATCGTTGCCAACGACTACAACATCTTGGGCGAATGGATAAAAAACCCTCTGTTGTCTCAGAGATCAAAATATTACATGTACGAGCTACTTTATGCAAAATCTCGTTATGACGTCATGTTTGGAGTGCGCTCGCGATTGGTGGGTGACAGACCAAAACAATATCACTATAACATCAAGGACCAATGGCAAGGCAGATACAAACATAGCTTACAGGTGTGTGTTACCGTTACATTTTTTCGGTTCCTGTATTCGCCAGAGCAAAATTCGCTAGATTTCAGATCATGCGCTTCGCTTACCAATTTGTAAATGGGCCTTATCCCTTTCCAAACGGAATCTACTAATTACTTACTAATTCGATAACGCTTAATACAAATGAGATGTACCTGTAAACATTTTACTGGATAAAATGAGAACGCTGCTTCCTAGTTTTCTATTTGTTCTATGCAGGTTGTTGGTGATAAGAAAGCTGCTCGAGCATCCAAAATTGCGCGAGGACCCGAGGGAATAAAGGCGTTGAGAGACCTCGAGAAAAAACTCGGTGTACAACTAAAGTTCATTCACGTTGTGAGAAATCCATTTGATAACATCGCAACTATGACTCTACGAAGAGCACAAGAGAGAAAAAAGGGACAAGTTAACCTTAAGGTCAGAATACGCAGTATACGCTGGGCCCGCTGTTATTGGCTGCGCTGTTGCAATGCCCCTGACATTTTTCTGTCGTTTTTTGTCATTTTTTTTCCATCTATTTATTTGGATTGTTGTCGTGTGGCGAAGTTAACAAATAAATAAATAAAGAATAGTATTAAGATTCATCCCCACGTTTACATTATATCTATTGGTCTGTTAGGTTTCAGACCTATTTGAAACTTTGAAGGAAAAGTTTATCTCACCCAACTACGCAGTCAAGGCTTCATAAACAATTGGGAATACCTCACCACCAAAAGATTCCTCAACTAACTTTTTCTTAATCCTTCATTTAGGTGAACCTCTCAAATGTACTTGATGGAAGTATAAAAAGTTACGGTGAACTCGCTCGAGGAAGTCTTGAAGTCAAGAAAAACTTTCCAGGCCGCGTACTTGACGTAGCAAGCATTGATGTGATGACGTACACTACAGAAAATTTACGGAATATTTGCAACTTCTTAGAAATCACGTGCACAGAGAAGTACCTGCAAGACTGCGCTGCCATTGTCGACCCAGTCCCCTCCACCACGCGAAAAAATGTCGAGTGGAACACTGACCAAATAAACCGAGTTCGGAGATTGATTTCACAATATCCATTCCTTAGACGATATTCATTTTACGATTGAATGACACCGAGAACCACTGTACAAATTGGATATGTTTATGGATAGAAATAGAATAATTAAAAAATGTTAGGTAATAAGCGGGCTATAAAGGGAAGCAACCTGACTAAAACGTCCCTTATCTTTTGACTTCTGTAGTGTAAAATATACTTAATGTAATTATATGATTAAAATTTTATAACTCCAATGACACTTACATACATATGCACGCAACCGTTTCATATTGTCCTTCAGTTGCATTTTGAAATGATATAATGGTTTCTGGTTCGCCTTAAGCGGCTGCAATATGACTGTTACGCTAGCTCTTGCCCTCACTCGAATCCATTGTATCATATATGCGCGCAGACTAAAAAATTAGAACTAAGCGCAAGCAAAATAGTTTTAGTTATTGTAAACCTTAAAAAAACTAGCAATAAAATACTGAAATTTATCTCCATATCGAGCAATGATTCAGAAAAAACTAATTAATCTATATCAGTGAATGCTACTTGCACAACAGTCGAATTAATATAATATTTGTAATTATTTAAAACGTTAAAAAATTAAAAAACGTGTAAAGTGAAAAGCGTAACTCAGAATCAGACACATTTACCTAACTGCAATAACAACTTGTTGTGTTAAGGAATAACTTCCGTTCAGCTGACTTGATAGTCTCTTGAATGAATAATGAGATCTGAATGTGTAAGGATGCTGGATAAAGGACTTTGAATTATGAAATTCGGTTGAGATTATATCTTCTGAAACAGAATAAAGCTTAGAATGGGAAAGTATTTTAAGTAAGTACAGGTATAAGTAAATAGGATCATGATACATATGTCCAGCCAATGAATTCCCGAGTTCAGCTTTTCATGACTTTTTGGCATCATTTGTATCAATAAAACTAATTCAATGGTGTCAATACGGGTGATATGGCCTTTCATTAAGACATCACTCAGTGTTAGCACGGTTCTTTATAGAGGGGGAGGGGATGCTGAGTGACTATGACTGTGTAATATGGAAGGTTTAAATGAGTCAACGGCGGTCGATTAGTTTGATCTTAACCGGCTTATCAGGAACCATAAGAATCTTCTGGTACATTTCCAACGGACCTTGATTGTATTCAATTTGAAACCGCTGCAGTAGCTGCAAGACAAAGAATAAGACAAACGAATCAAAACTTCAAGAAAGATTCCGCAACTACAGTGCGTTTGAAACATGACATTCTCACCTTGCAAACAAACAGGTAAATTTCCAATTCCGCCAAACGACGACCTTACAAAAAAAATGGAAGATTCAACAGGAAAGTCGGAAGAGATGAAGTTAAAAAATTTCTTACAGACAGTAGTAAAGGGTGAAAATGGGGCGGAGAGATCTGAGCCGTGGTGTCAGGGGAGGGGGGTGGATGTCCAGGAATGCCCCTATAATTCAGGAGGTGAAAATGCACAAATCCGATAACAAGACAAAACAATCTTTATTCGACTTACTATTTACAACGTCATGAAGTTAAATCAGGAGCCCTGGTTAAATACAGTTGTAAATAAAATAAGTAAGGGTGCAAGATATCCTAAAAAACCATGTGGGCTTTTCGGAGAAGAATATCTTTGGTGAATGCAAGGCATAAATCGTTTCCAGTGCTATAGGGGCCCGTAGTATAGCAGCGGTATAAGTCTCTTCACGCAAGACGTGCCGCAATTGATAACCTTGACCCAAACCCTCCTTTCCCCCCCCCCCCCCCACCCTTGAAAATCCTAGTGCCCCCCTGTCTTTTTCAGCTCACCTCAATCAACGGCCTTACTCACCAAGGCACATACGAGGTCCAAATCCAAATGGAATACTTGCAAAAGCGTGAGCCTCTTCCCTCTGTTCTCGCAGCCAGCGCTCTGGTTTGTACTCTAAAGGATCCTCAAAGTACTCTTCTGAGCGAGCAGTACAGTAATTTTCTAAAACTATGAAAGTCTGCAAGAATAATTAGGAATTGCATCAGTCCTGGATCAAATAAAAGGGATAAAACAGTGATATCATTTGAGCTGAGTTTGACAAGACAAGGCTTTAGATTATTACATTTCCTTAATAATAGGGGCTCTACCTGCGTATATTCGCACACCACACATACCGGTTAGAGGCTTTCCTGAAACAGTTTCACAGTAAATAGTCCAAGGAAAGAATTATTTATAATATTCATATTTGAACTGAGGAATAAAGGGAATTGTTAGAGACATTTTATCATCCTGTAAAAGGAAAAATTTCAAGAATTTGAGGGATGTTGCGATTTGTTAATGTAGGGGAACTACGACTAGTAATGAATAGTTTTTGTAGTCCATCAGGAGAACTTTATTTCAGAGTCCTTAGCGGTAATTATTTTTGTCGATCATCATCACCTTCATCATAATCCTTATTGCTATTGTCATTATCACTTTTATCATAAATGATTACAAGAAGGCTATACAACACTTAACAAGATACATGTAGGTAATAAAAAGAAACAGAGACTCACTCCAGCTGGCACATGATAGCCACGTAACTCAATATCCTCATCCAATATTCGACTGTTGGCAGAAATAACTGGGTGTAATCTTCTCAAGGAAAAGTAAGAGAAAGAACATGACAAAGGAGAAGATTAAAGCTGGTAGCAAACAGCTCAGGTTTTTTACAAATAAATACATCCATCATGGAAATACCACTCCTACAAAACTATCAATTTGTAAAAACTAAGTAGTTTTTTTTTTCAGTAAGGCAGAGTAAGTTTACCTCATTGTTTCTTTAAGACAGGCCTTCAAATATGAAAGTTTTGCTAGACTCTGAGAGGTAACATCTGCATCTTTTCCAACAACACTTTCCACTTCCTGATAGAGTTTGTCTTGTACATGTGGATTTCTTCCCAAATTATACAACATCCACAAAGTAGTATTTGCTGTCTGTGTTATCAAGGAGAAAATGATGTGAAAATTAATCCCACTGATATGAATCTAGACATCAATGACAGAAAGGTTCAAATTAGGTGCAGGCAGGTTAATTTTGTTCTGTATGCATGTCATACATGTAAGACCTGGATTGCAATATTTGTGACAGAATACCTAAAGCACTTCTCTTAAGGCTTTCACTAAGTTTTGGCAGCTATTACATTGGAGATATCTCCCATAGCAGCATCATACATGCTCAAGTGTTCCACAACAGTGATCAATATCTTCACCTTCTACAGAATCATTTATGTCATATTTGTTTGATTTGTCACTTAGCAATGATTGGCGCAATAATCCATGTGACTCAAAGTTCAAAATACTCCTTCTCTCAACTGACTGCCACACACTTCTTTGTCAATCAGATTTCAGCAATTTTTCAAGGGAATACCCTCTAGCTAATCTCTAGACAACATAAATAAATTGATGGAAGAGTCATGTTAACAAAATCTGGGTGTTAAAGAGTTAAGTTGCAAACATTTTGCTGTATCCTCTCAATAGATGGGTTAATGTTGCTAATTAGCCACCCTGGAAATATTACTGACTCTATATTTACCTACAGGAAAACTCTGCTCAATTTTCTACTCATGCAGTAATTGACAGAAACATATCATTGATTATATCACTTACTGTATCAACTCCTGCACCAACCACATCAAGAAGAACACCTACAACCTCTTGAGGAGTCAGTTCCTTTTTTGTGAGCAGGTAGGTTAACAGTGGAACAGCTGTTTGAAAAGAACATACATAAGATGGTGATCACTGAAAATAGTTGAAGACAAATTGGGAATTAAGCTGTGATTACATTTTTTTACATCATTACTTTCAAAGAGAACTTATGAACAAAATCCATACCATCATTGGTCAATGTACAAAAATTGTTGCAACTGTGGTTAAGACAACATGTTGAGAATTTACAATTTACCTTACAGACTCATAGACTTGTATACAACTATGTAATAATCATATAAGTGCATAAATTTACTAAAAGGACATATTTAACTGAATACTTGCCTTGAGTGTTATCAATTCCTTTATCTGACATTTCTTTCAATTCATTCATCTTCTTATCCACAAAACCTTCCCCAATTTCTATAAGGGTATCAGCAGTCTTGAAGAATTTCTTTAGTAATGGTGTATCAATGCTGAAGTTCTTACCAAGTCGCCTTGATACACTAAAAAACAACTTATGACTGATTGAGAAGAAGTTATGAACCTCTGTGATGAATCGCATCGCTTCTTCTTTAGGAGGATCTTCATAGAGCCCTAGGCGGGAATCAAATGCAAGTGTTCCCACACCTTGAAAAAGTACAAACAGAATGTTTACTTCCTAATTCAATCAAAACATGAAGATAAAATGAATAAATACACTATCAAAAACAACAATTATCAATTAAACAACACTTTGCTTAAAGGAAGTCCATTCTATCAAAAGCCTGTAACATCCACCTCACAGCCTGTTATTCAGTTTCCTAACCTGAGGCCCAATTTTCATCATCATTGTTGTTTCATTCTCTCATTATTGAGAAAAAGGGCCTCATTTCTAATTACCACAAAAAGCTTTTATCACCCTGGTTAAACTGCAAGTCAGCCTACAAGGCAGAATGGAATGGTAGCACAACATAATTTATGCACACTCCCGCCTCCTGATCAGCTTTCCCCAAATTTAAAAGTCCATTAAGTATAGGATGGCTTGAGACAACCCTTCAAAAACCTCTTTAGGCAAAGTTTTTTGGTTTGCTTTGGTGATGAGAGGGGTACATGCCACCTAATTGATAACTTTGACAATCAAATGTGTCAGACATTGATCCACATTTGGGTATATGCATATTTGATAAAAAGCAGGCTCAAAATGGTTTCCTTACTTTCAAATACCAATTATTAAATGGATCATAGCTTCCACACATTCTCATTTGTCATATCAAAAAAAAAAATCCTAACTTTCCACTTTTTTGACATATTAGGTGACTAATTTTGGCAAAAATACAGCCTTTGAGACACAGCTATAACTCTACCTTAATGTGGCTCTCAACTCAACTTCGAAGTCAAATTCAAACTTGGTGACCCACATTTTTTAATACTGAATTATATATAGGATATTAAGTGGATTAGAGATATTACATCTTGTATTGAAAAATATTTCACTTGTTTGTTTCCCTCACTCAAGAAATATTTTTCAACACTCAAAGAGAAATTTCTTATCTCCATGCAGCCACACAACATTCTATCTGTTAAGAAAAACACAGATGAAAACAAAACAATTTCACTTTAACTTTTTTATATATAACCATAGCAACAGTGGTCTTTCTACCTGTGAAGATACACAGTTGACATGCTATCTTCAAGTGTGAAGATATGTTTTCATATGAAAGTTTACTTGGTATTTCATTGATGTTTATATAATAGATTCTCATACTGCCCATGAAACTTCACTTAAACTACATCTATAGGTCACAGATAACTCACATTAATTGAAAGTACAACCAGTTTTGATTGACTTACTCTCTGTAGCCCATTTACTAAGTTCCTCCTCCAAGTCTGGAATGTGTCTGTCAGGTCCACATTCCTCCTTTAGTTTGGCAAGCCTTGCAATTGCATCTTTTGTTACAGCAGTAAAGTTATCAATATTTTCCTCCATAATCTTTGGACGCATTATTTTTGGAGCTACACTGTGTCGTACTCTGTACCACTCTTCTCCTTGTCTGTCAGATTCAAAAAAATATGTTGTTCATTAATTGAGAAAAACAAATTTTTAGAATATGCTTGCTATTACTCTGTCAGTGTTTGTTTGTCCTCTTCAATGAGTGCTTGGGTTAATGAATACAACTATGGCAGAATTTAAGAAAACGTATAACCAATAACTAGTTTGTTTCTCAGATTTTGTTATAGTTTGATCAATTGGTAAAATGCTGTGTCTAGATGTCCAGCAGCCTGGATTGGTTTTTGAAATTACTCCCTGTCTGGCAGTAAAAATTATTTACTAATTCTTTTGTTTTTTAAACAATAATAACATTAGAGAAAAATGTTTTCATCTTGTCATGAGTGTGGGACAAAGAAAAAATTCAGAGTCCCCAGGAGAAATTGAACCTCAGACCTTGAGGGCCCTGAATTTTTTCTTTGTCCCACACCTGTGACAAGATGAAAACATCTTTCTCTATTTCTTTACCAAGTTCGAACCTTACCATCTCATTTATTCTGTTTACAGTAGGCAACCTACTGTTTTGAGTCTATCAACAAGAAAAACATAAAATTTAAAAAACATTTGACTGCCAGACATGGAGTATTTTGACTTCGTGTCCAGAAGCTTGCTGCAAACAATTGTACCTCAATTAACATTTGTGAAGACAACAAGCATAATCATGAAATTATTACCAATGTAAACAAAGATAGCTCTGCCTAGCATATTATAATTCTAATGTAATTTCACAATAAAATTAAAAATTGAGGAAAACTTTCAACTGCTGGACACGGAGTGTTTATGAATTCTGTGTCTGGAAGCTTGCAACAAGCCTTTAAGTCACAGATTTAATTTTAAGTCTGTCTAAGGGCCTGTTTACATGGAGGTAGGGGACCCCAGGTTGGTGAGGTAACCCACCAAGTGTGGTAACCCGCCCATCCATAAAATCTCTTATTTTATCTTGAACACGTTTACATGATAGGTGGGGTGACCTGCCTAGGCAGGTTGCCCAGGCTGCTGGGCAGGGTAACCCTGTCTGCCCGAGTGACAGTTTGCCATGTAAACGTCTCAAGGTGGGGTTACCCGCTAGCCATGTTACAAAAAGATCAAATGAGCCAAAAAAAAAAACGAAACACGAGTGTGTTAAAACTTTGTTCATTTCCTAGCAGTCTCATGCAGAGCTTAAACGTTAAAACACCAATTTTTACGTCCTCTTAGCAATGAAACCTCGACAGCGATTTAGTCACGATGTTACTTTGAACTCAGCACCACATTCACATGTTGAGCCGAAGTGAAGACGTTGTACCGTCAGAAACGGTTAATGCATCGAGCTGATGGCGAAAATCTTAGAAGAAAATAAATTACGTTTTTTACGGCGACGTTTACCACATGTCGTCGTAGTGACATCTTAAAATCCTTAACTACAAGTGCGATAAAAACCTCGGGAAACCTCGCCCCTGCATCCCGGGGTTGTAAGACTGCATGTGATAACCTCGGGTTACCTCAACTACCTAGGTTTCCCCACATCCATGTAAACAGGTCCTAAATAAATAAAGAGCGCCGAGCTTATGCAAAACTAGCAGGTCGGTGGAAAACGTAACGTGTCTATCGATCTAAAAACGTTTCTGATTGTGTGAATTAAAATTGGTAAATATTTCGACTGCCAGACGCGGAGTAACTTCATAAACCTGTCCGGCTGCCGTATATCTAGAAACAGCATTGGTGAAAAGAACTCGCGTGTTCACCTCCTTCTGCTTCGCATAATTAAATGGCGATACTGTCATGTCACGCGAAGTGTATTTGGGCACATGGAGAATCGTGACTTACAAGAGCACAATGCCAGGGAAATAATTCCTGCGTTGTCGATGCTCCAGCCAAAAGTCAATCATTACTCTGGTGGGATATTTTCCTTCGGCACGTAGAGCTTTTTCTTGATCAACAGGATCAATGAGATGCACGGAGTACGTCCCCAAGAAAGCGAACTCCTTAAAAATAGGGCCATATGTCCGAAACAATTCGTCCAGCATTTTGTATCCTTTGGTAAATCGCTCAGATTTCCAGTAAAATTCTACGAAAGATTTGAAGTTTTTGGGGCGACCAGGGATGTCTTGGAAGGGTTTACCTTGAGTTGCGGATTCCTGATCACCGCTGCGATCAGAGACTGCCTCGGTTTTCTGAAATCTCAAAAGTGAATTGAAGGGTTTTAACACTTCAATACATGGGAGAAGATTTCTGCGGAGAGCGAATCTTGACAAAGAATACATAATAAAACCCGGTTTTCACTAATAGTGTCCGACAAGCAGTCTTAGCAGCAGAAAGGAGGATAGATTTGCAACTATGTTTTTGACATGAAAACATTCGAAATGCAGCTATGGAGCCGCTCCATCTATTTAGATGGCGTGGCTACCAAAGAATTTGTTGTTTTTCAAGATGGCGAGCTCTGATGTTCTGTTGTTTCTTTTATATTTCGGTCAAGGATTGCCTTATGGCTTTCAAGTCAAACTTCTTCCATTATTTCTGAGGAAACATAAGTTTTCATTGTCAAAGGTAGGCCTTAGCCGCCTATTAAGTTTACCATGGATTTTCAAATTCACAATAGCACCTTTGATTGATAAGTTATGGTCTTTGAACTCTTGGATTACTTTGGGCTCGTTAATTATGGCCGTAATTTGCTTTGCATCAGCCTGGGTGGGAGAACACAATACTCTTTTGGTTCTGTTCTGGGTGTTGTGGATGAACATAACATCTGCTGTACAGGATGTTGCAGTGGATGCCTATGCAATTTGCCTGCTAGAACCTGAAGATCTTGGTAAGAATACATTTACAACTTCAGCATGAATAGTTTAAATAATGCAAACAATTCAAACAAATTATGAAAAATAATGAAATCCTCACCCATAAGATCAAGGAAAGAGGGTTATTGTTTTCTGCCCAAGACCATAGCTTAAAAATACATCTTTTTTAGCGCTGTCCAAGATAATCTCTCAACATTCATAGTGTCTTGTGTAGGTTTTATTTGTGGAAGGTGGCCTGTACTCTGCATGCATAACAGCCTAGGAAATTCTCTTTCACAAACTAGGGATGTAACATTAGAGGAAAATCCTTTGATTTGGTCAAATTGTTGATTGAGTGATCACAAATGACCTGTGACTTGACAAGACACCTCAATCAATGGAATACTGCTAGTCCAAAGGGTAACATTTTATTCCATTTTCAGGAAAGGCGAGCACACTACAAGTGGTTGGTTACAAACTGGGTGCATTATTTGGAGGAGGTATTCTTTCTTGGCTCAGTGTATACTACAGCTGGAAATGGTTGTTCACCCTCTGGGGCTCTTTTTACATAGTCATGTTAATCATCTCAGTAATAAACATTAACAGTGAAACACGTTCAACATATGAAATAGCAAAGGGAGTATCATTGAAAAACCAGGAAATTAAAGGAAATCAGTTACGTTCATCTATGTCAGTCTCCAATGATAATACAAGTGGCAAGCTTAGTCCTTTAAAGATCATTAGAACTACTATTAGGACTGTTGACTTCTCATGGCTGATGTTCTATGTTGCAACATACAAATTAGGCGAACAAGGTGTTGTTAGCATGCTGCCTTTGTATCTGATTGATCAAAGAATTCCCCAAGAACAAGTGGGGGTAATATTTGGAATATTTGGTCAACTGTTCTCAATCAGTGGTTCAACCATAGGAGGCTGGATTGTTAGTCTGCAGTATGGACACAGGTAATGTGAATGGTCAACATATCACTAACATCTGTAATGTACTTTCTAATTTGAATAAAATTACAGTGACAACAAGAAAAAGGGCATTAAATGTGTAAGATATTGACCACAGAAGGGTGACAAAATAACACAAACATAAATCAAAACATGTGTGGTACCACTGAGTAACAGTAAACAAAGAGTAAATAGCACAACCGTAATATACTTAGAATTATTGATAGGTAAGGGAAGTATACATTTCCCTCCATTGTTCCTCTATGGCATGCTACAAGACTTCAGAAACTTTTTGGGTAAATTTTGCCTGTTTAAAACCTGTGCCCTTTTTTAACAATTGTATTTTTTGAATGTTGTTTGCATGTGGACACTACTTAATAAATAGTTGTTACATGATTTTGTTTTTGACACAGCACTAACTGCACTCAATATTGAAAAAGCTCTGTTTTTAATTTTGAATTTAAGGTCATGGGTGATTAAAGTACTCCTATGGACTTCGTATGCAAGACTAGTACCACTTCTCTCACTTTGGTTGCTGTCCTTAACACAATTCACAAAATCTGCAATTGCAATCATTGAATGTTTCATACAACTAAGTGGGGGAATAATCACAACTGCAACATTCACACTCATGATGTTAAGTTCACAAAATTCTTTACCTGGTGCTAAAGCAACACACTGTGCTGTTCTTGCCACATCAGAAGTGTTGGGTAAATTGCTGATGATTTCCTTATCTGGGATACTAGTAGATATTATTGGTTACCAGTATTTCTTTGGATTGTGCTTTCTACTGGCATTGTCATTTCTTCCTGTTTTAAAACATGGCCTGGTATCTCAGAGGGAGAAATCTTCCTAAAGAAAATCAAAACCTTTCTGGTAAATTTTGGTTCTTTACCTTCAAAGATCACAGTCAAACATTTCTTACCAAAATAACATTTATCACATAGATTTTAATAATATTATGCAAGCTGGAGAAAGATGTTTTTTGTCTTTTCACAAGCAAGGACAAAGAAAAAATTCTGAGTCTCCATGGGGAATCGAACCTCAGACCTATGAATTCTGCTGCACTATGATGCTCCACCACACAGCCACAAAGACTCTATGGTGAGCAAGGCTCATTACGAAGTTCATGTACAACATGGGTCATGTAAGCTATATAATTTGCATGTAATAAAATGCAATCATAAAAAATTTGTGTGAGTTTGATTTTGTACAAAGCACATCCTTTTTCCAATCTTCAAAAAAGAAGAGCTAATAAAAATGCTATATAAAGAGTTTGAGTTAAGGAACAGTTTAACCTCCTCAACTTATCATCAGCCCCTCTCCCACTCCAAGAGTTGGTGTTATGGTGAAAACATAAATGGATACCTATCTAAATAAAAAAACCATTCCTATTCTGAGATTAAATACCATAAACACGTGCAGTGTTTTTTCTAACTGTTTCAAGGACCTCTTCTAATGCAACACCCTTTATTTCTGCAATTCTCTGAGCAGTAAATATTGCCATTCCAGGGTTGCTGAACTTGTTATGCTTATCAGCCACTTGCGATGGAACAAAATATGGTGCATCGGTTTCCAGTAGAAGCTTTTCTAAAGGCACATCAAATGCAAGTTCATGAATATTTGTAGCTTTAGCAAAAGTAACCACTGCTGTCATTCCTATGAAAAGGTTTGGAAATTCTCGAAAAAATCTGGTTGCAAATGCACTTGATCCAGTATAACAGTGCAAGTGGATTCTCCAGTCTTGTGGTAGACAGGACTTAAGAATTTCAAGCGTGTCTGTTTCCGCATCACGACAATGAACAACCAATGGTTTTTCTAGTGTTACAGCCCAGTTGGCTTGTCTAGTAAACACTTCTTTTTGAACTTCAGGGGGAGATGTACAATGTGAAGAGTAATCAAGCCCGACCTCACCTAGGGCAATGGCTTTGGGATGATCCAAACACTGAATTATTTTAGCTTCCAACTCATCGTTGTAATATTTGGCATTGTGAGGGTGACAGCCAAATGTTCCCCAAACACTCTCTTCCGAAAGTACATCATACCAAGTGCCAAACGACGAAAAAGCTGCAGGATCACAAAATGTTGTAATGCAACCCTCAAAATTTGGTGGGAACGGATACCTTGCCTGGAACTCTTTCAAACTTCCAGTGTGTCTGAGTCTTTCATAAACATACTCTAAATGACAATGAGTATCAATGAACATTGACTTGCTGACTGGAAATTGCACCTCCATTTTCCGGCTTCTTGTAGAATTTTTTGAGTGCCTTGTAGACGCTGTGTCAGCTGTGTTCCCGTCTGCCAAGTTGGTACAATCCTTCTGAAAATGACCATGCCTTCCACAAGCAAAACATTTTACATTCTGTAAATTATGGTTTGCCTTTTCTGGACAATCTCTCTTTAAGTGACCCGTTTTGCCACACTTGAAACACTTTCTGCCATCCATCGCCAACTGAAGGGGAAAATTTAAAGTAAACTTTTCTCAAAAGTTAGTCCTAGTTCCGGTCCAACTGAAAGTCTTGGATAACTGGAACTGCTCCAGTATTTCGTGTCCAACTTAAATGGAGTGGTTACCAAGGATTCATTTTCATTCCATCATGGCGACTACTCTGGAAACGTATGTAAATCGTATCCTTTTATACTTGAATCACTTGCATTAGGAATCGAAATTATCAAATGCAACTATTTCTCGCTGGTTGATAATGCACATATCTCTTTCAGGTAGCACACGTTTCAATCAGATTGGTCTGGTGTGCTTTCAATTGTCTATGTTAAAGTGCGCGTGTTCCACAACATCAAACAATATGCTCTCGGTAACTTTCAGAATCTTTGCAGCGTTAATAAATCTTCAACCACGAAAAATCTTAATGCGTCAAAAGAAATAGTAAGCTGTGGTTTATCATTTTCGGTTTTTTGAGACTCTATAATCGTGACAAAACGTTAAACGTTCTCTAGTACATGTTAGTCCTTACTAGGACTGGGAACATATGTCACTACCAGGTTGTTCATCTGCAGAAAAGCACCATGTACATTCTTATGTGCGAGTCTACATCTGTGTCGAGGTACACATTCTTAACACTAGAATATAGATACTGTAGCAGTAATCACACAGGATGGAAGAATGATTGTGGTAAGATTTTGTAGATTTTTGTGCCGTGAATTTCATTATGTAGTTATTGCAAATCTAAAACCAGTCATAACTTTTTAATAAGCCTATCGGGGGGTGCAGAAAGGCGAACTCCAAGGCATGTGAGATGTCAATACCTCTCCCCCTCTCATCTCTTGTTTTTCTTTTAGTTAATTACTAATTTATACCCTAAATTACTCTTTTGCCTATTTTTCATGCAGGAAGCAATTTTTTTTGAGAGCAAGGAACCTTCTTCACAAAATTTGTTTCTTGACTTATTTTAGGGAACCCTTAAAGGGTTTGATCAAACAGTGAATTTAATTTTGGATGAGAGCCATGAGAGAGTGTTCTCTTCAGGAAGTGGAGTGGAACAGGTCATGTTGGGTCTTTACATCATCAGAGGAGATAATATGTAAGCTGGTTTACACATTGCAGGTTACTTTTAAAATCAGGGTTTCTTGAGACTTTATCCCATGCTCACCTGTCGAGTTTTAATCTAGTACGGTGGAAAGGTCTGTTGTAAACAGTAACTGAATTTTAATAACCTGAATCATCTGAATCATCAGAGTTTTACTTATCAACACTAGTTTGCATGTTCCTCAGCCCCTCAAGCTATTTTTATTTCTTGTAGTGACATTAGAGGTATGACTTTCTGCAACATCAAAATCGCTTTCTCCATGCTTTTTTGGTGTGAATGATGTCAGTGGACTAAATAGTCTTGACATTTGTTTATTTTCAGTGCTGTCATAGGAGAAATAGATGAGGAAGCAGATGCTAACTTAGATTTGAGTAGTATTCGTGCTGATCCACTTAATGCTGTAGTTTACTAAGAGCTTTTGAGATGTATTTGCTCCCAACATCATTCTAACTTGAGGTACTGGCTGCAGAGGGAAGAAGAAAAATCAAAATTGACTCAATACATCAGTGAACTATGTAAATTTACTAAACTATTATGGTGTGTTGAGTGTGCCATAGGGCCATACTAAACCCATTCCCTGGACAAGATATGATTGTGGCTTTGGCTGTAAAATAATGAATCATTTTATGACAGTTATAGGTTGTGTTGGTAACAGTTTCAGTGTTTATACCAGCAACCTGGTCAAGAAAGCTCTAAGAGGCAGATCATTTGAATTTTGATGGGAAGTAACGTTTAATCTAGTACTGGCTTTAATAATAACCTCCAGGGAAACTAAACATATTTCTTCCACCAAATCACACAAAACCTCCTGAGAAGTTGAATGGACTGCTTTTAGCTTTATTTTTACCAAATTTTTGCATGTTCCCATTCCACAAGTTTAAGCCAGCCAACCAGCTAACAAATTGTCAAAGCAAAGTTTATAAGTATCTTTTCTTTTTCCTCCAAATGCAAACACAATTCCTGTAAATGGTAGATTTCACCATTGCTTTTACTAGAAGTTCAACTTGAGCTTGCGTAAACAGGTCCTAGATGCAATTTCCTCTGTAATCCCTGATCAGGAGTTCTCATTGGCAAGATAGACCTCACCCCTTTGCTTCTATTACGTTTTACGATACTGGAAATTTTTCAGAGAGCTACTTCATCGTCCCTTTAAAATATGAATTAAAAAGTCGTCAGTGCTAAGTATGTACGTAGTTGTAATAAAATTTTAAAATGTTCGGAAAACCATTCAAAAAGTACTTGCCTCTTACAGCATGTTTTCTTACGAACCCAGCTCAAGCAACTGCTCTGCTACCCCTATTGCTTACAACGTTCTTCTATGGCCATTAGAAGACTCATGGTGTTCCCCATTTGACTCAAACAAGTCTGAGTCGCTAAACAAATTATGTGTGTAGGGTCTTGATTCTTAAAAAACGTAGATAATTTTACCATTTAGTGAAAGGATGCCCTTTTCAGGCGGAAAAAACAAAACAATAGCGAAATGATCGAATTTTTCCTAAACGTGTTCCTGGTACCGCAACAATTTTCCTTCCACTGCCCGCATTCATCCCGATGGGATAGAAAAAGTTTTTAGTCCTTACCTTTACCAGATGTGGGGAAGAAATACTCGATTTCTTGGTGTGCACATTCATAATCAAAGTATCTTTTGCAGTTTGGATGTTATGCCAAGAATGTGTCTAAAGGTTAATTTAAAGAAAGTTTGATGTTCATTTAAGAGGTGGAAAGAAAGTGACATTTGTGGTCTCTTTAGCAGGTTAAATGAATTAGAAAAATGTGTGGACCTATGCCCTAGTTGGTTAAAAAACATCATGATTCTGATTAAGAAAGAACTTGTAAGCCTAATCTTCGGCGCAGATGGCTGAACAACACCTTCCGCATGGGTGTAACAAGTTTAATGCGATAATTTAGTTTTATTATTAATAGTAACAAGGAAAATACTTGACTGGAAATATATGAAAATCATACATGTGAACTGCAGTCGAAGAAACGAATATTGAGGCAATCCTCGCAGTTATGATCACTACTTAAGTGATAGTGAAAATAAGGCTTGTTCCATATTCGTTTCTTTAATCGCAGTTCACATATATTATTTCATGTATTTACAGTCATTTATTCACCACTTCACGGGTTTATTTAAAATCAACATAATAACCAGCCCCTAGTTGGCTTGTTAGCTCAGTTGGTTGAGCGCTGCACCGTTATTGCAAAGGTCATGGGTTCAAATCCCGTACGAGCCTTAATTTTTTTCAGGCCTTATTTTCATTCTAATCAAGTGGTGTTCATAACTGCGAGGATTGCTTCCATATAAGGAAAAGACAGTTCTGGCTTCCGACGTCTGGGAAGTCGTCTTCCAGCTGTTTCACTCGATTCATCTCCTCATGTTGTTAGTAAACCATACCGGAAAGCTCCAACATAGTATGTCACCATGATGTGGGTACCTTTCACCCCCAGGTGACGTCGAAGAGCCTGACCTAAATGCAACCACCGCACATTTTCAGGGTGAATTTACAAACTAACATTGAATTTTAAGGCTGATGATTTTCTCAACGGCCTCTTGTTATTGACGAAAACTGTGCGGCAATAAGTTGAAAAAATTTTCACACTGGTTTCCACACCTAACCTATCGACCTTGTCTCCAGGGTGCTGGCTTCTCCAATTATCCATTTAGGGCTGGGAAGACGTAAATTTAAGTTCATTCTCGCGTTACTTTTCACAACTCTATCCGATTTAGACCCACAATGATAAAATGCTATACCTATTTTAGCTCAAAATGGCTCAAAACTATTTTTCTGCATGGGGTGAGTCGTGCCCTTAAAGCTTGTGAAGGGGCCTTACTGCCTTACTGTTCCCCCTCCCCCTCCCCCAGGGCATATAGCTCAAGAGATTCTTACTCGCAGGATTAAAAATGAAGTTACGACGCGCCATAAAATGATACCCGACAGTCAATCTTTGTTCGTTTTAACACCAGCATCCAGTCTAGGTACCCGGGTAAGATAGGCCGCTGTTGCAGAGCCTCAGTTCTTCCACTTCGTTTGTCCTTCTGTCCACTTTGGTTAGAAATTATAAATCAATAATACGTGCCAAAATTATATTCAATGTTTTTCAAATAATTTCTTAGTTTCTCCTCAAACATAGTGAAAAGCTGATGTTTACGAAACTAGTAGCAAGATTTATACGCAAATCATATGAGCAAAAGAGTAAAACTACAAACTATTGAAAAGGCGCTCTTTATTTCTTAGAGAAAGGAAAACCGTATCGACAGTTTGAACATTGGCTAATTACTTGTGTGCTATCAGATCAGCTCGGTTTGTTGCAACAGTTATCTAATTATCAGATCAATGAATATCTTTGCGTCATCGCATGCTGAGATTACTGAGCACCATAATTGTCCTCTGTCATAAAAAAAATAAGAACCACCTTCGAGATAATGTGCTGAATAGCCAATCTACTCTGCTATTAATTTTAGCTTTTTTCTATGATGTAACCAGGCACAAATTTTATAATCGAACTTATTCTCAAGGCACATAGGGCTGTTCAAGTAATTAAGCTCTTTTTGACCCAATCCAGTCTGCAGAGAGCCAATGAAAACTGTTTGAGAAATATTAAGGCCTGTGGCAATTGCTTGACTGTATAACGTAGATTACGACATACAGCTGGCTCGCTTGATATGTGGACACTGTGAATCCGCTACCAGAAAACATGCCTTCCACAAGACAGAAAAGGCTGCCTTCCAGTTCGTCGAAGTTGGAATTTGTTGAAAACAAGAAAGAAAAGTTTTTTGTTTTCCAACCGCCGTTTAGTGCGGTTCAGATAGATAGATAGATAGTCTGAGTACTACAAGTATCATCCTTATATGATTGCATCTAAACCTGGCGTAACTTCGTCCGAGGTTCGAAAGTTCTATCGTCCTTACGATTTCCGTCCAGAGGTCATGAAAAAACACTGATGCTCGTACTACTCTCTACAATGAGCTACAAACTGGCATTTTAGCGGACATGAACGAAAGCAAACTCAACCGGCGAGAAAAGAAGGCCATGTACATCGCCAAACACATTTTAAAGGTTTCTTTCGGATGGAGCCCATATGAAATAAATGACTACTCTGGAGATTGGCTGCTGGGACCGAACATGTTCTGTTGGCAACCTGTGTACAATTTATTAAGGCGTCTTAAGTTTCTTTACCTCATTTTAAATCCCAAAGTTTCACCGACATAAAACTGTTGAACGGTATTTTAGAGTAACATAACAAATCAATTCGTCAATATAGCGATAACATAAAGGCGCTCCAAAAGTGAGTATGGTACGGTCTATGGAGCCATGCACTGTGGGAGTACGTGAATTTAAGAAGAACTTCCTCTCGATAGCGATCTCAAACGAAACAGGTAAACTATGATTATAATCCTGCATTATTATCACCAAAATGAAAATGGTAAGCGTACGTTCATTTTACCGCGTCCTATCGGTCATTGGACACTTCAAGTTTAGTGAAGTGGTTTCAAAAGGTTAGCCGCCCACTGTAAGGATCATAGGATTTAGGTGTTGACAGTATATTGATTTATTGAGAAAAATCAATATTTCAAAGTCGGGACAGAAAATGATTTTTTGATGATAAGATTGAGGAGCCAAGCGACGACAGACCATTCTAACTGCCCCAGCTGACTCCAAAGACTATAACCCACTTTTGATACTCCATTACAGATTTCCTGTGCAGTAGAAACTGTACTTCAACTAACTTGCATTTCCACTGATCATATCGCTCTTCAAATTTCGGAAAAAAAGAAAAAAGAAAACATTGCTTGATGATGAATGACAAATGCGTGACTTTTAGAGCCGAAATAATTGCTTAATTTGGATTTTTCTGGCTTATAATGACCTCGATGGCTTTGAGAGGCAAACAAAAAAGGAAAAAAAAAAACGAATAACAGACCTACTCTTTCGGTTACTGTAACAAAATTACTGCCTATCTCTGCTTAAAAAAAGATTTAAAGACATAAATGATCATCTATGTCGTACTTTGACACGGAAAAAAAAGCTCAAAAACAAGTTCACAAGTTCTTGAGAGAAGTAAACCTCGTGTAAAGATTTACTTACTGATTTATTCAATCATGTACTCTATTTTTGATACCTATTTTGCGGCGTGTCTGTTTGCAGATAATGTGATTATCTGATAATATTTCTTGTTAAAAAGATTTTAAAAAAACTGAACTAACGAGAATTTAAAGTAAATAACTTATTTAGATATAAAGAGAGATACTCTCGTTCTCCCTAACTTAGCTACCAGAGATAAAAAAAGGAAAAAAACCTAACTCGACAAAGTGTGATAATACACAGAAAATGATAACAACAACAGAAACAATGTGCTTGCCTATTTGCTAGGTGCACTTAAGACTCAAGTCGCAAAGATGATCCTTGGGGAAGAGTTTCTCGAGAAACTGGTCCCAGAAGCAAGACAAAAATGGACACAGTTGTATGGACAGACAGTGGCAGAATATCTGCGGCTATCTATCATAGAGAATCTTGGGAGACCTCTCTATAAGCTGATAAGGTAACAAGCCTGCAGCATGGCTTTGAATGAGAAGTGTATATATGGATTTGAAATGTCTATATCATTATGGCTCTATGAGGTGTGTTTGAATGAAATTGCTTTGGTTTTACTATGTGTCGCTATGTTATTGGTCCAGAAAACTCGTGTCACTCTCTCAACCATCGGATACAAAACTAAAGTTGAAGTAATCACGACTTGGTCACCCGCATCTACCCGCGCAAGTGGCAATTTGGTTGGCTTTGTGTTCTTGGCTCTTCAAAATAATTCCTTTCTTCTGATTGGCCATTTTTTATTTGCAAAAGCCCTTTCAGTTTCGGGATTTGGAGACTATTTCAATTTGTTGCTTTTCAGACATTTAGAGACAGAATACATTCGTCATTGCATTCCGAGCAACGTGTCAAGTGGATTATCCAGTCTCCCTCTTCCATATATGTACGTGGATGAGATAGCGAAGAGTGACCAGCCAACCACTCAGGAGTTACCCTCAAGGGACAGATTAAGCGGCGCACAGACTTATTTGAAACTTATATCAGTTTTCACAACGCTTGTTGTATCGCCGGAAAAACTGAAACATATCTCACAGGAAAAGTTGGACGAACTTTTGTCCCACGTGAGTGTCACATGAATTATCTTAAACCCAAGATATCAGAAGAGGGAAGGTACAGTAATGACGTATGAGCGTTAACTCTTTAACAACTTTCATGTCATCATAGTGATTAAGTATGTACAATTTTGCAAGTGATATAGCCTGGAAGATAAAAATATTGACTCTAAGATCAAATTTAGTCCTCAGTCTTTGAACCAGCTTGGAATATGAAAGAATTGTTTGTTAAGTCTGTCAACTTCCACCTTGACAAAATGTATCATTGTATAGCTGTGCTGAAAAGCTCTAAAGAACTTTAAGGTTACATTCTTGATAAGAACAACGCATTTCCAATTCTGTCCGTATGTCAGTCCCTGTTCAATGATAATATAGTCTCTCGATGTTACACAGCTTGATCTTGCTAAATGAAAGACAACCGGTTTCAACTTGGTTACAGAACACCCTTGGTCGTCCGTTTGTATAATCCAATTAAGGCAAATCTTACTGAATCACGGGCCACGTTTTTCAACCCACATCCGTTTCCTGCAAAATGGTTCGACGAGGCTGCATTTTTCCACTGTATTGATGAAAAGGCATCGCGGTTGTTTTGCCCCAACAGATGGAAGGTCATGCAAGCATAGATTGAAAGTACAACAAAGATAGACACGTGCATCTTCTTTCTCTCTGACTCGTTATTTACTTTTCTCAAATACGATTTTTAGCGAGAAGCATGCGATTACCAACATCAGACGACTTTGTTTTCACTTGACAGGAAATGAAACAGATCAGGCCCAAGATGGCCCCGCTTTTTTCCGGCATTGGACCAATGAAAACCATTCCTGACAGTGCAATTAAGGTAGTTCCGTGGTACCACTTGGAGGCAGTTTTTCACCAGTACGTCGAATCCAACAGTGCTAGCTGCCAGACTCCTTCTCTGCATATGCTGCCTTTCTTTATAGACAATTTTGGACCGAAGTACACTGAGTGGACCACAACTGCACACGAACAACTACCAGGGCATCACCTTGAGGTGACAACGACATAACCTTTAGTTAGCTCGTATATTTTCTCGTATTGTTCATTTTTACTAGATCCAGGCTGCACTGCACACCTTCCCGGACATAAACATCAACTACTATAATATGTCCCGGATAAACGCTGAACTCCTGTATAATAAGTACGCTTGGGGAAGTCGCACCACGGCCTCCAAGGATATCACGCGGTTTCAAAGCTCCCCAGGAGCCGTGACGAGTTACATGATTGGACAAATGACTTTCGTAAATGCGAGAAAACTCAAGCACAAATCACCCAGTGCCAGGTTTTCTATACCTGACTTTCATTACCACATCCTCCGGCAGGGTGAGATTCCACGTGAATATTTAATTAAGAACATACGTGATTTGTCCGGGTGATTAGTCTTTATTCATGATATACGTTCAATATTGTGAAATTCATTGTTTAATAATGTGACTAAACATTTTAAAGTTAATCTTTGGTGACATTACCATTTTTATGAAATATTTTTGACGCTTTCAGTTCCAGGCAACAATCTCTATGATTTTCTATTAACTAAATGACTTTTCCATAGACTATGAATGATGTAATAATAATTGAGATATTTAGTACTTCTGAGTGTAATAGAGTCTACCATTTGGAAACCATTGTTACTTTGTAAGAAAAGAAACTATTTTTAAGCTTGGTTTGGTTACCATGCAGGATGTGCTTGGCCACTCGTTGAAACTGGACGACATCTTAACCTAATTTTATTCCCCTCAGAGGACAGACGCAAAGTAAATTTCCACCAAAATAAACCTATTAATGAGTTTAATATGCCTTGAGTTTTCTTCTAATCATTAAAAAGAATTGATGCACACTCGCGGTGATAAAAATTCCACTTATTTGGCTAATTGAGTCATTTACTCTTTCATTAAACGTAACAGTTGTATGAAAAACTATACTGTAGCTACAGCAACATCTTTCGATAAAATATAATGGTGAATTTATCAACGACAAGGCATTCGTTTGATGTAATTAGAGTCTCCGCAGTATATCGGCTCATCTAGAGTGTTAATATTAATTCAGCAAATGCATATATGCTCTAAAGCTTTGTCGGCTTGCTTAGATTCCATTACTTGTCTTTCTTAAAAATCATATCTATTGAAAATAGAAATGGTGCTAGAGCGAGAATGTCGAGATCAAAATCCCTTAAACATCATCCTTTTAATGTCGATCTATAAACTTGATCCTGACCGGTTTCTCTGGAACTGCGAACATCTTCTGATACATTTCCAGTGGCTCATGGTGATACTCTAACCGGAAGCGTTGAATAACCTACAGTTTGTGTGGCGAGGAATACTATCAGCGCACAACATGGCTTAGCCAATACGAAAAGAGTACATTGCCTCTACTATTGTATTAGTCTTTAGTTTTTTGTACAGAACCCCATTAATCATCTTGCTACACGTCCAAAAATTGCACACGAGTTACCCCCCTGCATAGGCTGAAGTAAAATCGATTATATTTTGCGTAATTCAACGAATGCTCAAACAAAAGTTCATTCAAGGGTGATTTCATAACAAACCGCAAAAGAAAAATAAAGACTCTATACGTTTTTCCCGTTCAACACCATGCTAATACTTTTTCAAAACGTTGAAAGACTTTTCTGTTCATTCCGGAGTAAAGATTCCGTACACTTTCTGCCCACCTTCCGAGTGGGTTACGACAGACTTCTGGAACAAGTTACAAGAGAAATTCGCAGTTATGGGAAGGAATCAATCTCATCTCCTTTCTTTGGATCTTGTTGCCACACAAATACTAGCCTACCTTAGCAACCAGAAGATATGTTTCCAGCTCTGCCACTCTGCTGCCTGTAACAAAAACCGAAAAAAAGTATATATATATTTTTCTAACCCGACAATCTATTCGAGACAATTTACTTTCATAGTACGTTTTCCTCCCAGTTGAGCAGTTTAACAATTCCATGATTTGTCACTAATATGACCAGGTAAGTATTGCACGTTTCCAAACTCGCCCCAATCCTTCCTCTCCCCTCGTAAACCTCATGACTATGGTGACCTGACTTTAATTCATAATGGAGGTCACAGTATCCGCACGTGGAAACGTCTTCGATGCATACCCTTGGTTATTGCTTGGATGTAAACGACAAAACTAATCGACTGATGGCGAGAAAAACCAGTATTGGAGCAAAATGACACATTTCTAGAAATAAAAAAGTCATTTGACAACCGTTGCGAATTTAGAAAAACAAACCCATGTTGGGAGAATACTAGTCCCCAAAAGTTTACTTTGAAGAGGGAACATCTTTACGCCCATTATCAGTAAGAACAACTCACCAATACACATGCGCGGACCAAAGCCAAATGGAAGGAATGCAAAGGGATCAATATTTTTCTTGTTTTCTCTCAACCAGCGTTCAGGTTTATATTCTAATGCATTCTTGAAGTATTTTTCGGAGGCTGCTGTAGCAAAGAATTCCATCTGAATTATGGTCTATGAAATCATGACGAACAAGAGTAGACAAGGGAATTAAGAAACAGACTGGTCTCTCTTTACGTCATCAACACTTCACAAAGACAGAGGAGGATCCTTCGCATTAGTGACGGAAATTATCGAAAATACCACTATAATATTCTGAAATGAAGCTACATGGACTTGTTTGGAAGACATCGTACCCCAAAGGACCCAGGTAAAGTCAAGTTTTAAGGACAGAACTCGCCTTATTTGACACCAAGAAAACTCTATAAGAGCCTTAGAATGAGGAAGTCTTAACATTGTTGCCAGTTTAGACGGCATCAAGGAGGTAAGATGAAACCAAAAAAGGGAAACATGATAAACGATGAAGAAGATAAACAACGATTGCATGTATAAACATTTTCAAATGAGCGGCCAAAAGTATCCGGGAATGCCTTGGTTTTGCTTTACTTCATTCTGATTCGTCAAGATAACTCGCGCCGCAATCTTAACCAATCAGGTGCAGAACTAAAACGCCAAATCGCGGCTTTGTCACTTGCGTTTTCATGCACTTCAAACAGCTTGCCAGTTTTCAATTTGAGTTCTCGTTGCTAATGATGATGTTCACCTTTTTTCTGACTAACAATTATAATAAAGTTGGTTTAATTTTTCAGCCATTTAGTTGTAAATTGCTCTAAACGATCCTCAAAATAACGAAGATGAAGGCAGGTTCCTCGGGTCTGAGGATCAGTGGGAAGGTGATCCCTGATGACAAGCCAATACTTGACCTGCATACTCTGCCACACCTTTGGTATGGGATTCCGTGAACAAGGGGGCTTAGGGCTCAGCTCATTCGCTGAGCGACCTGACTTGAAACGAAGTGACCGCACTTTAACCGTTTGATTTGGATGTACTGTAACGGAGACCAGGGCTCAAAGTTAATTTTTTAGTCCACTAGCAAAGTTTTGTAAGTAAATTTTTTTCCCCACTAGCAAACTGGTGAGACCACTAGCAAATTCTTTCCCTTTGAAATGTCAATGACCATATCTGATATAAAGATTAGAATTAATATTTCGCACAGGCTATTAATGAGTTGAAAAGTTTAAGAAAAGGGCATTAAATATTTGGTCTCCTTTGTCGTTGTCCTAACAGCCACCACCTATCTACTTCATGTTTCGGAGACATGGATGATTCCAGCAAACAAACGTTTGCGGGTGAATATTTTTCTCACTCGCAGATTTGCAAAATCACTCGCATTTTGCGAGTTTCGAGCCCTGGAGACAAGAAAATGTTGATGACAAAATATACGAAAAGTGACAAAACCTGCTTTGTTTAAACGAAAAAACATTAGTAGCATTTAATTCGTCCAGCTCAAGGATAGACGCAGACGGTAGTAAGTTAGGAGCAAACCTGTGCAGGAACCAAATATCCACTCAAAACTACATCTTTATCCAATATTCTTCTATTAGCCGGGACGACTGGTGTCAACCTATCAAAGAAATGGCAGAGTTAAACGATATAATTACAGATTGTACATTTAAGATTGTATATATACAAAATAAAGTATTTTTCACACCACACTCTCTGATAAAATCCACCTTAAAACATGAACTTGCCTTGCAGATTCTTTAACACAAGCCTTGAGATAAGACAATTTTGCAAGGCTTCCAGCCGTAACATCTCCATCTTTCCCCAGAATGCCAAATATTTCCTGGTAAAGGATTTGTTGAATTTCTTGATTTCTTGCAAGGTGGTACAATGCCCACAGAGTGGTGTAACTTGTCTAAAAAGGGAAAAATAATTCAGGGTGAGATAGAAAACCAAAAGAGCCCCAAAGATGTATCCAAATTTTGACAGGGGTGCTCCATTTCACTTACAACTAGGAGAGTACCCTTCATTTTTACCTGGTCATTTTTCCTTTATCACTTCCCTAATAAATATTCAAACCCCTGCCAACAGAACAGACGAGGTTTAGGTACGGAGTTTCAGCATCTTTTTGCCGGGATTTAACAAATGATGGCCATCCATCTCTGTTTTCTACACCTCCATGCCTGCCCTCCTTGCCCCAGATTGAATATCTCGTCCAAAATGGGCATCATTTTCCTGTTAATTCATCTATTTTTAGTTCAAGCACTTTGCATGTAATTATAAAAGTGTGCTTGTTTCAAGCAGCTAATTCATGGGAATTACACTCGCTCGATGCGCGTGTAAGTGTGCAGTTCACTTTAACGGCTCGGTTGTCGAGTTGAAGATTTCTTGCATTGCTTACTTGATTTCCAGCTCACACTCACAGAGTTCAAAATAAAAGTCTGGTCACAGTTAATAGATTAATTGCTAACTCGTTATAACAGAAGCATATCGGTTTTATGCTTCTGTTTGTAAAGATAGCTTAAGCTATCTTTACAAACAGAAGCATGGTTGTGATGATCATTTTCTGTTGAGTTTAGTGATTACCCTGGCATAGCTCAGTAGACCAAACTCTCTCCTCACCTGTAAAAAAACATATTTCCTGATTCATGTTTGGGTTTTGTCACTGGCCATAATGTAACTATTTACAGTGGTTGGATTCAGTTTGTCAAAACATGCGGAATGATAAACCAACTTACTGTGTCAACACCTCCTGCAAACAAAGTAAAAGTGTTGGCATAAATTTCTTCCGGGGTCAAGTCCTCACGTGATAGCAGGTAAGTTAACAATGAAACAGCTATGGAAAAATAAATAACAAACAGTTTTTAGTTCATTACTCTGTGCACTAACTCTGTACCTTATTTGTTGGTCCTAAAACCAGAGAACTGATACACTTTTGTTGACCTAACTGAATACAATTTAAGTCAAAGTAATTTTTTTGGGGAAGGGAACACTTGGAAAGACCCTTCTTTATCCCATGTTGTCGTAGACATGTAATGTTGCTCTTGTGACTTGTAGAAATGGGTTGGGAAGGGATCTCCATTGTGGTGTGCTAAGAGCCTTTTAAAACACCACAGCATTTAGTGGAATCTGATGATTTAATCCATAGAAGTCAGGGAGACAGTGTGGTTAGGGAACTAGGCTTGCAATCTGTTGGTCCCAGCTTCAAGCCCTCTGCCCTACTACCAGTAACCACCAATTTAATCTCCTGATTTTTCTCTCCGTTTTCATTTCATTGCAAATATAATGAAACAGGTATCATTCCTTAGGCAGAATCTTGCCCATCCAGATTTTACCTTCAGATTCTCGAGAATCATCTGATCCTTTATGAGCCATTTCTTCAAGATCTTTCATTTTCCTATCAATATATCCACGTGTAATTTCAAATGCAGTTTCCGATGCACGCTCAAGCTTGACAAAGTTTGGGGTTTTCATGTATTGAAATAAATTTTTCTCCACAATTCCAAAAACAAAGGCATGGAGGCTTTGAAAAATATCATGTATTGATCCAATGAACCTCAAGGCTTCCTCACTTGGTGGATCATTGTATAACCCAACTCTAGCATCAAAAGCCAATGTGCCCACACCTTAATTAAAACATATAAACCATAAAATGATGAAATTAGACAAAAAAAAAACAAAGACAAAAAGTTGAGAAAAATACAACCAACCTTGAATAGAAGACACTTATTTCTTAGGGAGTGAAATAAACTTGACTTGCCCCTCTCCCTGTTTCAGAGAAAAATGCCTATATTCTCTAATGTGGGAGAGACTTGGCAGGCTGTATGAGATGCCAAGAGATAAGCTCTGTATGTTGAGAAACTTTCAGATAATCCAGGAAAGTGAGCATGCATGAAACCACCATCATAACTAGGTCAAAAGTATTGATTTTTCCCTAATTTTATGGTATTAACTTTTACTTCATTTGAAGTACTGCATTTATTCACCTATAAGCCAAGCCCAGCAAATTTGCCAAGACCCCAAACTTGAGAGACCTTGCAATGGGCTTAAGCTTGTTTAAAAAAAAAATCCAGAAAACTCTTGCATATGAGCCAAGAAAGATAGCAACCTTTTGAAAGCCTCCCTCACAGGAAACATGTGGTGTTTGTTGACCAAATAAACCCATTCTAATTGATTCTAATTGGAGATGCCAACCTCTAGAAATATGAAATCTATAAATTACGTTCAATTTTGGGTCTTGCACATCCTTCCCTTAATTCTTTTCTGGACCTCTTCGTCTCAGTTTCTAATCCCACAAACTATAGTTAAAGAGAATCCAAAACATGAAAAAGAGCCTCCAACTGAAACAAAAACTTCCTTTAGAAATCAGTAACCCTTGAAAATTGTCTCTTAAGAGTCTACAGGACGGTTAACTTTTTTACGGTAATTTTGATCATTTGTATATGTTACTAGGTTACCGTAATAACAATATAAACAGTATCTATATATAAACCCCAAGAAACACCCCTAATTTTAGCTTTATGTGCCTTTAACTAAAAGGGGAGTGAGTGACCACTCTTTCTTATCACTGCATTGCAATAAGTATGTCAACATTCATGATTCTGCCAACCTTTCAAGACATCTGTTAATAAGTAAAATAGCCACCCTAATTTATCATCATTATTATTTAAGACATGCAAACTTACTCTCTGTTGCCCATTTACTCAGTTCACCCTCCAAGTCAGGAATTTCTTCCCCCAATCCGCTAGTCTCTTTAAGTTTTGCAAAGTGTTCCAGTGTGTCTTTTGTAACTGCGTTAAAGTTGTCAATGTTTTCCTCCAACACTTTTGGACGCATCAGTTTTGGGGCTACTGCTTGTCTAACTCTTTGCCATTCCTTACCATTTCTGTGTGGTATTAATATTCAATTAAAGCACATCCTTGAGGGAACATAGACATTTGCTCTGTACAAGGGAGACTCCAAGTTAACTCAGGATAGTTGACAAATTAAAGGTAAGGTTCCTTTGAGTACAATGATTGAGAAATCAGGGGAATAAGTATGCAAATGATCAATATGTTTAAAGATTTTTCTCTGTTTCACATGATCTTAGTCAACTTTGGATTGTATACCCATGTTTACTATGGACTACTAGTGGCTCACATGAAATTGAAATTATAAATTGTAAATCTAAATTCAAATATAGCACACTAGGTGAACAAGTTATATTCACTAGTCCATGTTGTGAACAGGCTCTATTGATGCAGGTTGTGTCTAACACATGTGTACCTCAAATAATTCCATGTTTTAAAACCACTCCATAATATGTGGTCTGCAGTACATTTTATATCAGCCATGTTGAAGAGCCACTGGGAAACACAGTGCCCAGTAATACATGTTTGTTTCTATTATGTGTTCCCTACACACTCACTCTAGCGATAGTGTTTCCCTTCAAAGATGGCTGCCAATCAACTGCCTTATTCCAATGAAGAAGTAAAATGTTTCAAGTTATATCAAACTGGAGCATTGCTTTTTCTCAGAGGCTTCCAGGAAAAGTCTTTTTTTTCAAAAATCTATCACAGATCTAGAACTATATTTCTATGCTTAGCAGAAAGAAGAAATAAAATTAATTTTACTCTGCTTGTCAAGCTCTTGTGATGGGAACACTTTTTACTTACCCATGAGGCTTCAGTGATATGTGTAACCCCTAATTTCACACATACAATGTACTCCCAATTATAAATTATAGCCTCAGTTCAAATTTGACCACTACTACTAAATTAAATGCTAAGAATGGTTCAATGTAATGTGTATCTCCTCACTCTTCTGAAGAGCAGAGTGGTTAAATTGTGTTTCCATCAAATCCATTTTATTTCTTGCAAAAATCTCAGTTACACATTGCAAATATTAGCGAGGCCAATTTGTGGGCTGAACTATCATCAAACAAGTTAGAAATTATTCTGAGTAGTTTAAATTGAAAATTTACAGTTGTGCAAGGCAAGGGTACTAAGGCTTCTCACTAAGGGTTCCCTCAAAATCTGGGAAGCTTGATATTTTTGAGTTTGGTTTATTTCAGTACAAAGCTTGTTTTACTCAAAACATTTTGCTCTTCTTTATTTTCCACATTCAGTGCATCCTAGGTTTGGGAACAACTTATAAGAAGGGCCTTGAGATCTAAGAGCCTGTTTACATAGAGATCAGGTAACCTGCATAGCTGGGTTAGCCTGTTGTCCCTATGAGTTGTTATTAATATATGATTTCTTTTTATCTTGATCACATTAACACGATAAGTTGGGTAACCAGCCTTGGCAGGCTACCTAGTCTACCATGGTTACAATTTGCCATGAAAGCATTTTAAGGTGGGACAACCCAACTGGTACTGGGTTACATTCATGCACTGGAAACTTCACCTTGGAATTCTGGGGTTTTAAGATTGTATGTAAATATGGGCTATTTTTCGAACATGGCTAGGTGGCTTACCTAACCTACCTACCTGCTCCACCTTCAAAAAAAAGCAAACTCTTCACTCCAACACAACCCAAATTGTCTGCCACTTTTTCTGTTTATTTGGAGCTTCTGTGTTTTGTGTTTGTTTCTACTCCCCACCAGGGAAACAGTTGTTACTGGGAATAAGTACTTGAGGAAACACTTAGCACTGTGACAAAGTGAAATATTTTGAAACTTTCTAACGGCCAAGTGACCTACAGTTAGATAGACATGTAAGCTACGTGCTTGGTCCTCCATCGCTATTGGTCTGTATTCGAGAGCTAAATCGTTTCCTTTTCCAGTCCTCCTTTTCGCTGACGACTCAAACCCAAAGGGTTTTTTCTTATCACAATTGCGGTTACTAAGCATTAGTCCAGTTTCGACTAATGACCACGTTAATTAGTAATATGGTATTTGATTGAAAAATAAGTTAAAATGTAAACACAAAGAAATTTCAAACGCAGTAAACAGAAATATCAAAAGATTTGCAGAACAAACGCTAGCCCAACTGAAATTTTCTGAAGGTTGACACATAATTAATGCCGACAAAATTATCCGAGGAAATAATTCACTCACTTCCAAATATCAACTGCATCAGTGGGACAAGCAAGTTTAAAGTTAGTTTACTCAAGGCTTATACACTTGCGTCAAAGTCTAGGGAATAATCGTACCTGGCCTGATAATCTGAAGATCAAAAACTTTCACGAATACTAGTCAAGGTACTCACAGATTTTCGATCCCAAGAAACATTCCCTTTCTTCTCCGAACTTCTATGAGCGCATCAACTGGTTGCCTGTAAGGATATTTTCCCTCTGCACGAAACACGGTTTGAATGTCGACTGGATCCATGACATGGACAACAGGACTTCTATCAGAGACAGACTGCTTAAATATTGGGCCATACTGGTTGAATAGCTTGTCGGTCAATTTATAAGTTTTGGTAAATCCTTCAGAAACGCGATAAAACTCTATCGCTGGTACATATTTCCCTTGAGGTCCAGGGATTTCATTGAACGGCAGAGGTTCGACTTCGGTTTCTGATGGAGAAATCTTTTCTGCTGCTTCAGCTCTCTGGAAGTGAACTTTCGCGAAAGATGAAATTGGATAAAAGCTTCGCAAACGGACACAAGGTGCTCGTACAAAAGCAAATGCCATAGCGATCATCTCTGCGCCCCGTAACATTAATGACACTCCAAATAAGTAAAGTAACAAGCAGTATGATGTCACTTAGCGGCTCTTAATTCAGATCCGGGGAGGTGCGATCAGTCAGCCTTATCACGGGTAAGTACTAAAACAAGGAACGACCTAAAACCACCTAAGACCACCTACAACCATCTACAACCACTTGCAAACTATCTAAAACCATCTAAAACAAGGCATAAATGTCTAAAATAAGGCGAAACGACATGTCACGTACACGAAATACGAGAATCAAACGAAACCTCTACCTCCCCCTGAAATCTTACTCTCCCTGGTCCCATGTATAATCAACCATCTCACGAAATGAATGCGATAGCATGCTAATTATTTTATATTCCCTCCGCAAAAGACTTAAAGAACTTTATAAAATGAACTAACATGTTATAAAAAATAATACATTGGGAATAATACATAGGCGCGCGTATATATGGAAGTTTTCGTAATCATGATTTAAAGCATTTTCCATCTTAAGAGTCAGCGCCAACGCACGCTACCATTGTTATTCGAGGATTGTCGATTCATTTATTTGCATTCATTAATGAGGACGGATTCTCTTCCCAGAAAAGGGCTATCGTGTTTATATGATAAACAAAATAATACATGGTTGCTTGTAGATATGGAATTTCGCTTCTCGTGTTCAACTCGACATCTCACTCGTTCACTGCGCTCACTCGTGAGCTATCGAGTTAAACACTCGAAGATTAATTCCATATCTACGCGCGCCCATGTATTATTCCCTATTTATTATTTTTTGTAACTTGTTAGTTCATTTTGTAAAGTACTTTAAGTCTTTTGCTGAGGGAATATAAAATAATTAGCATGCTATCGCATTTCATTTCGTGAGATGGTTGATTATACATGGGACCAGGGAGAGTAAGATTTCAGGGGGAGGTAGAGGTTTCCTTCGATTCTCGTATTTCGTGTACGTGACATGTTGTCGTTTCGCCTTATTTTAGACATTTATGCCTTGTTTTATATGGTTTTAGATAGTTTGCAAGTGGTTGTAGATGTTTTTGAGGTGGTTGTATGTGGTTGTTGAAATTTTTGAGGTGGTTGAAGGTGGTTGTAGGTGGTTTTAGGTGGTTTTAGGTTGTTCCTTGTTTTAGTACTTACCCCTTATCACGCCATTCGATTTTGATGAAAGTAAATTATCCTCTCTTAAAATAGGCTCGAAAACCATGGATAACCAGTCACACTGTGTAGTAGCCTGGTTTAGTAAAGGTAGCATTTGGGCACATACGAGGTTCATCTTCTCTGCCTCCCGTGGCGATGACTCCTAAATCAGCTAAATGAATCAGCGAAAGTAAGAGATCCACGATAGCTAATGGCCCGAAAACGAAGACCCTTTCATTTTCTTTATCACACGGGCATGCCCAAAGCGCAAAGGGCAAGGGCCGAATATAGGTCAAGACTTTGTTCTTTTTTTTAATTTTTTTCATTCGGAGTTCAGTCACAAATCACCTTCTGGGCACTAAATTCTGAGTAGACCTCGGCGTCGATATCGGCATTATCCCCCCCCCACTCCTACTAAATTTAAATCGTCATGCCTTTGTCCCTTTTTCACATTTTCTGGAGGGTGGGACGGAGGGGAAATTTTTGCTTGAGTGCATGGAAAAGTCAAATCACAATGACTATGTAATTTAGCGAAAGTTGAATTGCAAGCCGATGCGGTCAGCGGTCTCGTCCTCAAGCGTACGTGATCTGTGGGGTGACCGCAGGGGCCTTTTTCATTTCTTTTGACTTACGTTGCATTTCGTGCTGGCGTTTCTGAGTCTGTTGCTTAAGGACCTTAAGCGAATCTTTGCGGATTCTGGCTTCCAGCCCTTCTGTGTATTGGTAAGTACGGGGTCAGGCGAGTTTTTCCAGTGTGACGGTGCCAGTTGGCGGCTGCATGCAGGGTTGGGTCCCGCTCGCAGAGTTGCCATGGATACCCCCTTGCTATGCCTGAGGTACCAGTTCACAAGCTCATCTATTGGTGATGAGTTTAAAAAGACTACACTGTGTGTTCATGGTTAATGATTGTTGACTTGAGACGAAAAAAATCCATGAAGGTTGTGAATAAAGCTCTGAAAATTGCATATCTAAATTACATTACCAGTTAGCGCTTGAC